CCCCTCGATGGCCTCCTTTGCCCTGCCCAACCCCCCCCCCCACACACACACATTCCACAGAGAAGTTTCTCAGCTTGCTGGCAGATCTGATCTCTTACCTATTGTGCCGTGTATCGCTTGCACAGTGCATCCCAAGTGTTCAAACTTCTTCATGTACACACTTTCAGCAACTTTTACAGCAACCCCTATTTATCTGATTTTTTTTTAAAAAAATGATGACCCTCCTTCAAAGAGTTCAGGGGGCATATACACATTCCACAGAGAAGTTTCTCAGCTTGCTGGCAGATCTGATCTCTTACCTATTGTGCCGTGTATCGCTTGCACAGTGCATCCCAAGTGTTCAAACTTCTTCATGTACACGCTTTCAGCAACTTTTACAACAACCCCTATTTATCTGTTGTTGTTGTTTTTAAATGATGCCCCTCCTTCAAAGAGTTCAGGGGGCATAAGGTGCTTCTACTTTTGTCTGATCCTCACTGCAATCCTGCAAGGAATGTTAGGCTGGCCCAGGGTCGCTCAGTGGTGCTGGGGTTTCAGTCCTGGTCTCTTCAGTGTCATGACATGCTGGTAGGCCTTTAGTTTGGTTCCCCTACAGGAGACAAGTTGAGAGATGGGAGGTCTTGAGTTGATGACAGAGATGTGTGGCAGCTACCTTCTGTGTGGGCTCTGCGTTTGTGTGAGTACTTGACTCTTGAGCACTTGAGTTGTCTGGAAGTCATCTTTAAAAACAGAACAGTGTACTGCAAAAGGAACTGAAACCCACACGCATTGTGTTTACCTTTTCACCAAGCTCTTCCTGTTTCATTTTTAAATTGACCCTCCTCCTCCTCCATCTGTGAATTTGGGAGGTTGTTTTGCCAGCACTGTGATTAACTGGGAAGGGGGGGGGGAAAGAGAAGGGCCTAATGAACAGTCCACATAGCAAGTCATTAAATTCATAGAACCGATGACTCTGCTCCTTAGAAGACCAGGGGCAGCTGCCTTAACATGTATTGGCAACACAGCCAGAGGTTGCCTGAAGTCTACCGGGATAACAGAAGGAAATTGGGAATTGCTTTTTGAGTCTCAGGCTAGTGAAATAATGTGTCTTTGCATTTTTTCAAGTAGCGGAACTTTTGCTGTGTGTATCTATTTGCGATTTAACTGCCTAACAGTGACTGGGATTAGGGAACCTTAACAAGCTAGAAAATGAAACTGTTAGTTTATAAGAGGTCTGTAGTCAGACCTTAAGGTTTGGAGCCCTCTTTGCCTCTAGTGCCCAGTCCTGTTGCATAGGATGAGAAAGTTATGCCACTGTTGCCCTGCTTCGTGCAGCGTGGTAGTGTTACTCCAGTGCAGTGCCATGCTGCAAGCGTCAAGTTCCAGTAGTAAAGCATACCAGAGGGCCACCATTAGAAACAAAAGTTACGGCTACAGCACCAGCAGCCATTCCCCCACTGTTTCAGTGCACCAGTCGCCAAAACACCCCCATGTTATCTGTACGTACCTTGGAGGCATCAGCCAGCACATGGCAATGGCAAGAATGCCTTGAGGGCACTGAAGAACCCACCCCTCCCACGTGGACGACCCAAGTGGCCTGCCAGGAAGAGCCCAGGGCACCGCCTTCCCTAGTGCCAGCCTGTGGTAACCTAGCTGGCACCTGTAGCTGCTAGCTCCAGAGTTCTCGTCAGGGTCTGAGCTCCTTAGCAGCCCAGTCACACCCAGCAAACAGCCCTTTGGACAAAGGTGATTGTTGGAAGCATGTAGGTAAGTGTAGCAGTCCATTTGCCTTTCAGCACAGGGCTGAATTGTAATTCATCAAGAAGAACTTTGATGATCATCTCCCACGCTGAATGATGTGCCTTGCAACTGGGTTTTACTCTGTGAAACAGTAGCATCTGCTTGCAGACAATTGCTAAAGTGCACCAAAAGTGGATTGAAAGTGCATCATCAGCGGGTGTGAAAGTGGCTTCCCAGATTGGGGGTGGGGTGTTCATCTCTGTCACACTCAGCTTTCCACTTGCCAGAGGGGAAATGGACACAGTTAAATTGTGGACAGATGGTATTTGCCTGTGCTGTCTGTTTTCTGCACAATACTAGTGCAGGGAGCCAGAGCAGCCACTGAGCAAGTGTGAAAGTGGCTTCCCAGATTGGGGGTGGGGTGTTCATCTCTGTCACACTCAGCTTTCCACTTGCCAGAGGGGAAATGGACACAGTTAAATTGTGGACAGATGGTATTTGCCTGTGCTGTCTGTTTTCTGCACAATACTAGTGCAGGGAGCCAGAGCAGCCACTGAGCAGGCTTAGGACTCCCTGTTTCCCTGCCCGGATTCTGCCCAGATACTCCCCTTTTGCTGGTGGCTCTAACCCAGGGGTGTCGAACTCATTTGTTATGAGGGCCGGATCTGACATAAATGAGACCTTGTAGGGCCGGTCCATGTGTGTCATGAAATGTAATGCCAGGTAGCGGAGATATAAACACAAACACAAAGGGTTTTTTTTTAAACTGGAAACATGCTTAAAACATTAGCATTCTTACAATATTTTCTTTATTTAACAGTATCTGATAACTGACACCCCTTGCTCTGAATTATTGCATCAAAATGTCTGCTGTTGCAATCTTGAGTATGCTGTTCAGGTGTGTATCTGTAAGCTGCAAACCTACGATGATGCAGAAGCTGCAGAACTGGAAGGAGAAGCAGAACACCCGTAGTTCCACTACGGGCCTGATAGAAGCACTCTGGGGGCCTGATCCGGCCCTGGGGCCACATGTTTGACACTCCTGCTCTAACCCTTATGGCAGTGGGCCTAATAGTTGCCTATTGGTAAGGCAGTGGTATCTAGGAAAATCAGAACATCTGGAAGAGCTACTAAAGCCCTTTCCTGATATCTTCAGTTTTTAGTGTTTCAGAATGTTTTATGGGTATATGAGCGAATTTTTAAAGTAATACTAATACTATTTATACGTTCACCATAAGCTGTAAGCTGCTTCAGGCTGTGAGAGAGGCAGGGTAAATGTATTTTTAAATACATAAGAGAAGCAGCTGGCCAAGCTTTCTCCTCCCCCCCCACAAATGCATCCGTACCCCATTTCTCCCAGTCCTGAAATGCAGGTTTATACTTATCCTGCAAACAAAGAAACTTTTTGATAGCCTAAGAATATCTGAGGCTTGAAATAATTGTAATCGGCCCATGGAATTTAGCAAACTGCCTTGCATTTCAAAGAATGCTCAAGGATGCTCTAGAAATAAAGCACAGAATAGAGTATCTGGTTAAAAATCGTATTCATTAAAATAAGATGTCAAAATGACAAGAAGTAAAACCTTAGACACTATCAGTTTAACTAAAATTTTTTTAAAGTCACACATAGAAAGATAAAGGTGCAAGAAAGCAAGTGAGGGGAGTAGGTTTAATTTGCATGATTTTCTTTTTCAGAAGTACTCAAGTAGTCTGTGCAGAAATACTGTATTCTAAAGCAACTGAAAACCCCACTAGGGGTCGTGGTAAGAAATCTAGAACTCTGTATAGGATTCAGGTGGGTAGCTGTGTTGGTCTGAAGCAGTAGAACAAAGTTTGAGTCCAGTGGCACCTGTATAGGATTGACTGCCATCTAGTGGACAAAGGTATGCCCATCTCTTACCTAATGTGTATTACAACAGTCAACACATTCTCGGTTACATTTTATTACGGGCAGATGTGAATAGCGCATTTACTAGCTAGTGAAGTGCTAAAATAGCTGATGGACCATCTGTGTCACTAATTAAAATGATTCGTAACTTCCTCGGGCATATTTGTAGTAAATGAGCACATAATTATTTGCCAGAGTTTTGAAAGCTAGAAAGCTGCCCTTCTAAGAACAAAATCTATTGTAAACTTTATTATTGTAATAGAGGTGGTTTGCATGGTTTGAAACATTTTATTGTGATTGACTCTAGATGTAATACAATAAATACATAAATGAGAGACAGCACTAACTGAATGTCAGAAATGATTATGAAACTTTCCTATAAAACTGGTCTTCTGACTATTGTCCATTATTATTAGTTCTTCCACTTTTACTACATTATAATCAAATATGTATACCTAACTAGCTATCCTAGATGTATGCATGCACATATACACGAAAAGCATTTGCAGTTAACCCTTTATACAATGAATGGCTTCAGCATAACTGTTGACCATGTACAGGTATAGCTAATGAGGATTTGCATAAAACCCTTCATAGTATGTGAACCTAAATAAATAATGCTCTGACCTGGATGGTTTAGGCTAGCTGGATCTTATCAGACCCCAGAAGCTAAGCAGGGTTCATTCTGATTAGTTTTTGGATGGGAGACCACCAAGGAAGTCCAGGGTCACTTCACAGAGGCAGGGATTGGCAAACTACCTCGGCCTTGAAAACCCCACCAGGGGTCGCTGTAAGTCAGCTGTGACTTGGCAGCACTTCCCACCACCAAACAAATAATAATGTGCTGCACCCCTGTAAGGCTTAATATCGCACAGGCCAGGTGACTGATGCACTGCGACCCAAAGGCTGATGTCAACATCTGATGGCAACAGTCTTTAATGAGCTGGTATTTCACAGGCCCTGATAGACAGTGGATTGCACCAGCCCAGTAGACTAAGATGTAGCGCTCTCTTGAACAAGTCCAGATGGGAAGTAGATTGTGCTGACCCAGTAGTACAACAGATTACAGTGGTTTATAAAAGTCTAACATTTCTCAGGTACAAGAAGACATCAGAAAGCAATAGTCTTTGGAATGAGGATGAATAACACGCGTGTCGAGATGCATGAGAGATAGCAGCAGTCTGGAGAAGTATTGTTCAAGCTCAATTATTTCACAAACATCACTGGATCCAGAATTCTAAGAAAAACCTATCCCCCTTGCATCACTGAGCATTTGCAATTCCAGGGAAATCATTTTGAGGGTCCAAAGAGGAACTGCAAGAGTCTGTCTGGAATTACTGGCATAGAAAGAGCAACCGGTTCCTCCCCCCCCCCCCCGGTTTGGAATGCAAGTTCAAGATGCCTTATGTGGAAGCTTCATTTGTACATCACTGAAGCCTTTTGACACCGCCTCAGCTGTAACTTGCATTTCTGTAGTTAGGTGCCAAATTAGTAACAGTTTAACGGCAGGGAGGTAGTTAATTTAAAGTTATAGCAAACAGTTTGTTGGCGGGGGGGGGATATTGCCTTTTACATTTTAGGGATCTCTGCTTCTTTCTGTGAGTAGCCTGGCTTTGTGGGTTTTGTCATCTATAGAGGGCCAGCCAGTTAGCAACTGGATATAATAACGCTTTATGCATCTGCTAAAGTGGGATCTGGCTGATGAAAGTTTATGCTGCACTAAATTCTGAAGTCATTAAGGTCACAA